AAGTAACAATTCCTAGTTGCTCACAAATAGTTAGAAATTAAACAAACTTTAAAAAGCAAAATTTCAAGTTTGAGAATATCAAAAAGAGCAAACAACATTGATTCAGTGTGTTTTCTACGTTAATGGAGTCCTCACACCCATGCATCACTGGATGAATTTTATCAGCAGATCACAGACACATCGATACCAGTGTGTATGTTTAACAACATGCAACAACGTGAAAACTTCTGTTTTTTTTTTTGTCAAACCAACATAATTAAGAAAAAGATGCTTGGGACAATTTCATGTTGCTAACAAGTTTGTGAAGCACATTAATGGAAAGCTAATAAAAGGTGAAACAATCCTTTTCTTTATTCAATTGAACATATTGTGATTGATTTTTTTTTTTTATATCAGCATCACCCACCAAAATCCAGCATCAGTCAGGCTCTACTTCACATCATCATTTGTAATATGCTGAATTTTGACAGTTGTGTGTACATTTCTTTTCCACAATGGGTATAAACCCAGCATCATAACTGCCCTCACAAATGTTAATATTCATACTATTTAGCAATTCCTGGAAATATCCCAAGGAACGGAATTTTCAGAACATGTAGGGAGAAATGAAGTCTTACACATGAGCTTTTTTGGTCACTGTAAATACCACCACAATCAGTTGTACAAAGACCACATATGACCTTTGAACCACAGAGGCTCAAAGTAAATGGAAAAATGTGCGGTTTTTGTTGTTCTTCAACTGTCAAACTGCATCAAGTATCAGACTGATAATTTTGCCCACCATTGGATCTCTTGCAGAAAGACTATATTAAAGTGGTATAGTAGTTACTGTACATCTAATATCCCATTACCATGACATGAACAAACTGTGTTTATTCTGACAATATACCAGAGTTAGTTCAAACATGTTTGAACAAACATGTCAATGCCTCTGAAAACTTGACTGTACTTACCCAAACCAGGGCATATTTGAACTGGCTGGCTAAGGTTCTGTGGATTCGATGGCACTGTGGGCATTTAAAAGAGTAATCAGAAACTCTGTGCATGCAGAAGGTTTGTACAAATTCCCTTAAAGCATTAGTGTATGTGAATTTTACTTACCACGTGTTCTACACTTGCTCCTCTCCTCATGATGATGGCATCATTAAAGTCCGGGCGCTCTGACAGAAGAAGAAATTAACACAAAATTAATTCAGAAGACCTACTTATTATTTATGTCAATGTGACAGTTGAATGAATAATTGTATGAATGAATGAGTATATGTGTGTGTGCATACCTCCTCTTTTCTTTGTATAAATGCAAATCAGTGCCAAGTATTCCCACAACCTCTCCAGAAGGTAATCCAGGTTCAGCTTCATCCCACAACTGAAGTGCACATGTAGACAGAAAAAGGAGGCGGCTGAGTCATTTCCACATACAAACATACATAAAAAGAAGACTTCTGCCAACTACAGACTGCTGTTCACACACAGATGTCTGACCTGATGACGACACTGTGAGGTCTGCGTGCCAGACGGTCTACCTCTTCGATGGAAATTTGATCCACCTTATTGTACACCTGAGTATACAAACAACATGAGGGTGAAAAGCCTCAAAACAAATGTAGATAGCTAGATAGAAACAACTTTATTGATCCCTTTGGTAGAACCTCAGGGAAACTGTTGAACACAAACATGTACACAAGCCAAGAAACTTCGTACAGGTCGAAACCTCAAAGAATGTCTCTGGACTTATGAAAAATGTCAACTAGACGCTGGTCACTTGAAAAACAAAAAAAGGACCCTTTTAAACAGTTAAAACTTCATGGGCACGAGGCTTTGATCCAACACTAGTTATTATATTTACATACGTATAGACAAGGCATGTAAACTCTGTTCCCAACGATGACGTCAATGAACTCGTCTGGTGTGCTGTCCTCCCTGAACAGGACTTCTGCATTAAAGATTTCTGGGAGGAGAGTTAAAGAAATCAACCTGGAAATGACAACTGAACTGGAAAAGACCAATATGAGAAGTCAGAGATGTGTTTTGGTGGGAGAGACTGTTGCTGAGTGAAGGATACTGTATTCGTGAAGAATGAGCTGAACGAGCTTCTCTGAGCAGTGAGTGAGAGGAACTGTGGAGTTGTAGGAGAGGCCGCCACCTTTCTTGGGCTACAGGGGGGAAAAAAATAACATTTTAATGTTTAATATTAAAATACAATATTAAATGGTTCATATTAAAACCTCTGGAACAGCGTTCCAGAACAACTGAGGGTGTCGATTTTTTACGAACCTTTAACGGAAACCTCAAGACACATCTTTTTAGCCAAGCATTCCCCTAATCCTTAAGTCAAAATGTTCCTTTAACTAATACTTTATATCTCCAGCACTAATTGATCCCATGGTGCCCCCAAGTGATGCATAAAGACGAGAACAATGGAAATGGTACCTTGAAATAAATATTTGGTTTCGTTCTGTTGAGTCTGATGCCCACTGACTCCAACTCTTTTTCTAGAAGTGTCCTACAAAGAAAAAGTGTAAAGCCCAAGTTATTGATGAAAAGTGTCCCATCAAACTATTTTAAACTTGTTCACATTACAAACTGTGCATCACAAACCTCTGAACCTCTCCTTTGGTGGCATCCAACATCATGATGACAACGTCTGCCGTCCTGGCAACAGCAATGACTTGTCGACCTCTACCCTTACCTTTTAGACGTTAAAGGTTAGTATAACACAGCTACTAGAAGGTTTGTTTTACATGTTAAGGAGTCATAACAACTAAATAATGAACTGAAACACAGTCAGTGTTTTCCACGAATAAGCTAAGCTTCTATGTTTCCATGCCGCCAAATACATTAACATCCACCAAGATACATTTAGCTTCATGTTCATTTGGAGTCCATATTGTATCATTTATTAACAACTCTGAACACTCATCAACATATGTTAAATTGCCAATATCTGCTCACTTTGTGTTTAAAACCACAAAACACAAAAACATGGAAACCAAGCTTACCTTGGGCGGCACCTTCAATGATTCCAGGCAGATCTAGCAACTGGATGTTGGCTCCTTTGTACTGAAAAGAAACAAATAAAGACAAATTTTACAATGTGTTTTAACCCATAAATGTAAACGTATGTACTGATGTGGATGTACGTACCTCTATGACACCAGGTATACAGGTGAGGGTAGTAAACTCATAGGAAGCAGCTTCACTGGCAGTTGATGTCATCAAGCTAAGGAAGGTAGACTGCAGGACACAGAAGAGAATAAAATGAAACCAGTGAATCTTAAAAATAAATTCCATTTCTATTGCCAGGATTAAGAGAAAAAGTGTGGGGTACAAATCCAGACCAGGAAACACAATCCTTCACCATCATGTGGACGTACCTTACCCACAGAGGGGAAACCGATAAGAGCAACACGGGCATCTCCTGATTTCATAACATCAAAGCCCTCGCCTTTGGCCCCCGCTGACTTGGAGGGTTCCAGAAGCTGAGCTCTGTATTTGGCTAGTTTGGCCTTGAGCAGACCCAGATGGTACTCAGTGGCTGGAGGGACGAGAGAACAAAAAAAACGCAGTGACTCCAAGAGAGCAAAGTGTGATGAGGAAAAAGACTTCAGTGTAATCAAGACCCACTTCTGAGAAAATCCTGCTTTTTTATATTGTTAACACATCCATTTAGGCAGAAACCAATAAATATTTTCATTATTGATTAATTGGTCAGTTATTTTCTTGAATAAGTGATTAGTTGTTTCATCTATATAATGGCAGAAAATGAAGGAAAGTGTTGGTCAGAACTATCCTCAAATGTTGTGATTTGTCCACAACCCAAAAACTTTCAGTTTAAGAAACCAGACATAGTGTACATTGTAAAAGCTGGAATCAGAAGATGACAATCTCAAAAACACAGACTTAGACTTCTGGGATTTCATATAAGACAAACCTAAGGACCCAATCCTGTCTACTTGCAGGATAGAGCCTTCTCCATATCATTATTCTTTTTCAGAATTGTTTCCTGGCTTGAACATGTACGGCTAAATCACTCCAAAATTGCTGTAGTAATTGCAGAGTAGTTTTACAAAGTTTGAGCAGAGTTGTATGTGAGCTGGTGTGCTGGAGCTGCAGCAAACGGGGACAGGTAGAGGGAGGCGAGGCCCTCACTGATAGGCAAGGTAGGCAACGGTGTAGTTACACTTAAGGTAGGAAGGGAATGTGTTTTTTATGTGAAATACTTCTAAATATGTAATTGAGATGAGTCATTAAGGGTTAAATCAGGGACCAGAGAGGGACTTTAACAGTTCAGGTCTGACGCACAATAATATAGGTTGGAAATGAAGACAGGTTGCTGACATCAGCACAACCACTGCAATGGAGTTCAATTTTATTTCACATTTACACTGTTCCTACTTGAAGATGAGAAACAGGGTGAGACTTTAGCTGCGTTAGTGTTGGTTGACATCAGCTTACGGTGTCAATTAACGCTGCTCTCCTTGTGTTTCTAATGAGTAACTTAACACTCCCAGCTGACACACACACACACACACACACACGCTCAGCTGGCTATAAGTTCGCCTCCCATGTAGCTAGCAGTTAGCTTTGCGCCTGCCCTCTCTTACCTTTGTTTTTCTGTGTCCGAGAAATTTCTTTCTCTATTTCCGCGATTTTCTCCAAGATGCCCATAGTGGCAGTTGAGGTTTGCTACAGCTGCACTGTCGGGAGGAGAAAATAGAAACGTGTCACTCCACAGTTACGAGCTTTGTTAGCCACCAGGCTAGCCCGCTCACCAGTAATACACAACAGTTGACAAATCACGTCAAAAGTCGCTAATGAACACAAACAGATGTAAACGAATATCGGAATACAACACACGTAATGTCAATGTGTTATAATGTTGTAATAAGAAAGACATTTACACTTTGACAGAAGCTACACTCGGCGGCATGCACAGGTAACTGACATCACAAACCGGAACTCGGTCCGTCGCTCTAAAAGGTCCGGAGGGAAACAAGGAAACGCACGCTGACGAAAGTTTCTACCCATATATCCATATCGCTACATCAACTGGGAAGTGCACTGCTCGGCCATGGCACTGACCGCACGGTAGCGCAAATATTAAAGGTAATAATGACTCCCCTCGGAGGTAGCTGCACGTCAACAGCTGGACTTTCCTGATGTGTATCGACATCGCAGGTCGATCAGTTATTAACTAAGATACGGAGTGAACATGGCTGCGCCCACAGCACCGAGGGGATCCTCAGCGTCCAGCCCGCCCGGGTTTGAAGGTTTTCCGTTTCCACTGGCCGGCAAAGCACCGGAGGACAGTGCCGGGAAGGAGCAGGAGCAGACCGGGGAGGCGAAGAAGAAGCCATGCAGGGCTTGTACTGACTTTAAATCGTGGATGAAGCTTCAGAAGAAAGAAACGACAGCTGCTACACAGGTGACATGAGGTCAAGGCGGGTTCTTAGGTGGATCAGAGGGGATGACTTTGACAATGTGAAGAAAAGCTGCTACTTCAGCATTGATTTATGCTCAGAAAGGTTGATTTTGAGTTAATTTAAAAAAAACAATAATTGCTCAGACCCTAAACAGTTTGCATGTTGCAAAGAAGTAAGTGGATCAATGCTGTGTTGTGGATTAATTTAGTTATTAGATTAATTTGACAATAGTTTCATCAGTGTTGTGTCCATTTGCTGTGTAAATGTGTCATCAGTTCACTGCAGGTTCAAGGTGGAAATACTCAGCCGTAGTGTTAACTGATTACTTCCCTCATCGTGTGTCCTTTAGCGTATAAAAACACCATGTTGACATGTTAACAAGGTAATAAAAGGTCTTAGATATTTGTCTGGAGGATATCTATAAAGAGGATCATATTGTTTGTTGGTGCGGCTGTTGTTTGTTATAAATTTTATGTTAAAAGCATGTTTTTAGGAATTTGTGGTGAAGGACTTGTCAGACTGCCACATCAAATTGACCTTATTATAAACTCTTCTAACACAACTGAGTGAGTCTAGAGTCTGTGATCTCAGGTTCACTCGTTCCTACACCAAACCAAACCGAGCTGATCTTAAAAGCAACTAAAAATTGTCACAGAGGGCATTACCTTAATTCCGGAGCTGCATGTCATGTTTATATCAAGAGCTCATCCAACCTCTGTTCAGGCTGTTTTATGTCTTAAAAAATAAAAAATGTAAATTTCTATTACCTCCCACACAGCCTGCTATTGGCATTAACGCCCTATCACACTTGAACTTGTTCTAGTGCACTTATCCAGATTGTTTTCTCCCGACTAGATCCTTGCTTGTGTTGTATCTGCTCGTAGATGTACGTCGCTTTGGATTAAAGCTTCTGCCAAATGAAATTGTAGAATTGTAGAACAAAGCATTGTGGCCTTTCACACACAAACATTCCCATCAAAGCTATCTTGGACAGATCACACATGAACCTTCCTCGAATATTATGGTTTTTAACCCTCTGATAATTCACTATCATCATGTTTAGCTTTTGATATTCTACATTTCCACATGCATATTAAACAAATGTAAACACTTGGCCTGAATAGTTATCCGGTTGATTCTATTCTCTGACTATTTTAAAAATGTTTTAATATCTATCAATAACCCCTTACTTAGTGTGTAGTGTGTTTTTACAGGTTTGGACCACCTTATTCATAGTACTGCATTTTAAGGATATTGTATTTCCTATTTTCGAACCTATAAGGCATCATCAGACAGCTTATTGAGAAGGTTTTGCCTCAGTAGTTTACATGCAATTTTGCAGTTTAGATTTTGGTTCAGTGTTGTTCCACTGACATTGTTTCAGTATTTAATTATCTAAACTATCTTCAGCTGGGCCTCGCAGCAAGAAGGTCGCCGGTTCGCGTCCCGGTGGGGGCGCCGGAATCTTTCTGCGTGGAGTTTGGATGTTCTCCCCGTGCAGCGTGGGTTCTCTCCGGGTTCTCCGGCTTCCTCCCACACAGTCCAAAAACATGCTGAGGTTAATTGGTGATTCTAAATTGTCCATAGGTGTGAATGTGAGTGTGCTTGGTTGTCTGTCTCTACATGTGGCCCTGTGATAGCCTGGTGACCTGTCCAGGTGAACCTGCCTTCGCCCTAAGTCGGCTGGGATAAGCTCCAGCTCCCCCGCGACCCTAGTGAGGATTAAGCGGTGTGTAGAAAATGGATGGATGGATCTTCAGCTGGCTTTTTAACAGATGGTTGAATCAGCAATGAGTCAGTGTCAGTTAAGGTTGAGGTGTTTATTTAATATCAGTGCAGACTGAGTGCTTCTAACATTTCAGTGTTGCTTCAGTCTGTTTTTGCTTGACCAGAAGTTGTTCTCGTTAGAGCTTTGTCAGAAAGCGTTTGGGAGCCAGTGTCCAGAAAACTTATTTGTGATCTGCTCAGGATACAACCAGAGGATACTCTGACATGTGCAATCACAAATCAGTAACATAGTGCAAGGGGCCACATCTGTCTCGTATATTTAAATGTCCCATTTGATTCTGCAGGAGAGTCGTGCTGCTGAATCACAGCCAGAACAAGACCCACAGTGTCCACTGGACAGGGAGGAGCTGGGAAGCAACACTTGGTCCTTTCTGCACACCATGGCAGCATACTACCCGGATCGTCCATCTTCCACCCAGCAGCAGGAGATGGGACAGTTCATCAACCTTTTCTCCAAGTTCTACCCCTGTGATGAATGTGCAGAAGATCTCAGGGGCAGGTGAGACTACAGTGCAGTGCTAGTTTGAATATAAAGAACAGGAAGTCACATATCAGGTTCTGCAGCATCTTAATTTAAGTTCATGCATAAATGAAAAGTTATCTGTACCTTCCAGGCAGCTGCTGCTTTTCAGTAGGTTTTAGCAAAATATGTAACTGAACTCACAGTTTTAGTTGCAGTATTTTTGCTTTATCACGCAGCTCGATTGTCTTCTCACCTTTGGTTTTAGCACAAACAAGCAAGCAGGTATGTCAAGATGCTATAAGACAAAATAAGAATTATCAACAAACGCCATCTCCTCGCAGGTTGAAAACCAATCAGCCGGACACCAGCAGCCGTCACGCTCTGTCTCAGTGGTTCTGTCGTCTTCATAATGGTGTCAACATCCGGCTGGGAAAGCCCGAGTTTGACTGCTCACGTGTGGACGAGAGGTGGAAAGATGGATGGAAAGACGGTTCCTGTGACTGAGTGATTGTATCTGAGTGCTGAGAGACATGTGGACAGAGCTGAGAGGAAAAAAGTCCTCCAAAACACCTGAGTGAAGAAAACTGGACGATGCATCTCAAATAGTTTGTCTTGTTTTGTGCTGTAGGAATGGTACAAGATGTGTAACTAATCTGGCAATAAAATTAAGGATACAGAGCAAATGGAAGTGTTTTTCTTTGTTTCTCAGGTTAAGACAAAGAAAAAGTTACACGAAAGCTGTTGTTAATTCTGATAATTGGGGACTTTAAAGGTGTTTTTTAAACTCAAACTTGCATTTTTGGTTTAAAATCCTCTCCTTGCCTTTTTGTTTTTTGGTGCATTTCTGTATTTGACTGTTTCTTTAGTCTGCTGTTATAACTTGTGTGGTAAAGCCCAGAATCTACTACATAAAAATACAATATCACCATCGTAAATGAGGGAAAAATGTTTCTCATGTGATTATGTCAGTGATGAGTTAAAACTATCACTTATAAAACACTATGTTAGAGACATATATATATTTATACGCAGAATGTTTTTCATTCTAATACCTTTGTCCATTTGAGTGGGTTGTGTGGTGGTTTACCTGCTGAGTATGTTAATTTATTTGCATAATTTAGTCATGAAAGTATGTAATTTTCTAAGTGCAGCCATGACTTTTTGATCCTTTAGGTCATTAAGTTATAAAATACAAATGTTTTGATGATTACAGCTTCTCACAAATGAACAGTTTCAAGTGTTTTGGCTGTTGGTTTGACAATAAAAGCATTTTTGAAGAAACATTTCAGCCTCCAGTAATTCATAAATCTGTATTTGATACCAATTTTGGAGCTTTATATAAATAATAATCAGTAAAAAGGTTTTAGATTAGTGGATTTATATTATTAAGATTTAAAATACTTGTTAGTTGCAGCTGCATGTTAATCCTTTTCTTTATTCAAGGACTTTTAAGGCCTTCACCTCAGCCCTATGACCTGCTGTGTCTTCTGTGAGTGATTAATAAACTCTCATTTTGAGATTGTTATTTAAAGAGCCAGCACAGGACAACGTCGTCCACAGCTCATATTTATCTCACTTTTATCGTAATAACATGAACAGTTTTTGTTTTTGCAACACCTCAACCCAGATTTAAATAGTTTTCTTTACAATACTGGTGTGATTATTAATGAACATAAAGTAATGAAGTCTGAAAAAGACATCACTGACCTCTAGTGGCGTGAATCTACTGTACTGCATTTCACAGCCGCTTCAGCAGCATTTCACCACTTTCATGAAGCAATTAATGAATTATAAGGTGTGAAAATGATACAGTTTAGTTTTAAAATAGTATATAAATCGTACAGGATTTAATTTACTATATTATAACACTTGTTGGCAGTTGGTTGGAAAATCAAATCAAATTATTTTTATTTATTTAGTATATAGTCTGAAATCCATGTTTCCAAAGAGAGTGAATGTACAATTTACAGAAACACCTCACAATACAACAACCTGCATTAAGACTGTGGTAAGACTCATAATGTGTATAAAAAGGTCCACAATTCAGTTAAGTGGTCTTTGTTAATCCCTTACTTGAGTAAAAGTACTAGTACTGCGCTGTAAAAGTAAAAGTCCTGCACTAAAAATGTTATTTAATTAAAAGTATGTAACTTTAATTCAGTTCTTAAATAGGTAAAGTAAAAGTAATCGATGCGCAAAATATCCCGAGACTGCTCAGCTGTTATATACCACATCAGGAGATTATTACCACTCATGCTTTAATGTAAAAGCAGGATTTTACAGGCATAGTTGGTTGAGGCAAGCTCATTTTGAAAGATTTAGAACTGCAACTAATTGTTTTCATTATGAATTAATCAGCTTATTATATTTTCCATTTATTGTCTGGTTTGTAAAAGTGCAGAAAATAGTGAAAAATGCCTCAACAAGCACTTCTAAACGATTATCAACAACTTTTTTGTCACTTGACGAGTTGATTAACTAATTGTTTCATTTGCACTTGTATATTTTTATTTCATAACACAACATCATAAGTTCCTTATATGTTTTGCGTGCACAAGTATTGAAGTTCATACTTGAGTAACTAAACTAAAGTTATATTCCACTGCTGAACATAATGAGTAAATATTCCATGATGAGTGACTTGTGACTATATTTTTTGTGCTATTTGGCACAGCTGCATCGTCATGAGACTTTTCTCTGTGCTATATTTCTGTTTATGGTCTTTGAGGCCCAAACATCTTTATTTAGATCAACTCTCTTGTTGAGGACACTGCAGTCACGTTTTTTTCCTGGAAATTTATAGCTTCTAGAAATCTGAGGGGAGTTAAGTTCAACAGTTTAAAACAATCATTTTGTAAATATTTATAGGCTGTCCCAGTATATCCAGACTTAACGTTGCTCCTAACGGTGATAGATATTTTAATTTGGCTTTGTCTCCTCCACTCTTTTACACTTTTATCATTCTTATTGGTGAATGTCTGGCTGTACTCAGATTCAAAGTTGACAATAATTTTGGCATATTTTTTTAACTTCTGACCGACATCTTGCCACACACACACAAATAAGCTATACACTGCTGTTGACGCCTGCTTTGCGGTAATTTATTTTAATACAAGTGCATTTATAATTTCTACACCATGTAAACTTTGACATTCTGCTACTAGTCGAGTCAGGTTATTAACAGTATATAGTGTAAAATCACAAATTGGCCACAAAGAGCTTCTCGTCTGTATTGTAGACAAACCAATTTATCTTTAGACTTCTTCTTTTGTTTTAGATTCACCATGATTAATAACACTGCAGGCTCTTAACCTCACTGTTTATTTTGACAAAAAATATGTATTTTGTTTGTAGGCTCTTAAACCTAATATTGAAACTTCTTTCAGTGTAAGATTTATACAGTGAAAAAACTCTTTATCTCCACTGCTGTTGTTTAAAATGTGCTGCATAAATAACTCTGATTTGGCAGCTCTGATGGGAATCTATCATCTCATCTCAGACTGGGCTTTTTTGTTTGTTTGTTTGTTTTGAATTATTTTTTATTTTTCTTAAATAAATAAAATAAATACATTTTGAACAAAAATCTTTGAGCATGAAGCTTCTCCAATGTGGAACTAACAGTAAAGGAAACCATTAATTTCATTATTTACAATTTATTCATATTTACATATATTTAAAATTCACACTTGACTAACTTGTGTTAGACTAGAGCTGCTCAAAACTGCCTGCACAGTTTTTAAACTTGTCTGTATATTTTCATTCTTTTTGTTCTGTTTTATAGTCTACATGGTTTTTTTTCTTCTATTTTTTTTCTTCTGTTTTATTCCATTGGTTTGGATTATTCTGTGAAATTGTGTGCACTTTGTTGTTGATATAAGCTATTAATTTAATTGCATTTTTTTCCATCTGTATTTTGTATTTGGTCTTTGCCTGTAAAGCACTTTGAATAACCTTTGTGGATGATGAAGTGCTTTTTTTATTTTTTTTTTTTTTTTAATGGAATCTCCTATAAACCAATAAAATGAAACCTGGTGTTTTATTTCCAGTCTCGCGTGTTGAACTCCCGTCATTTCACTGTTATTCTCTAGTTTTAATAATAACAGCATTTAAGTGTGTCTTCATTTCATCAGTCTGTAGCGCGGGCACGACATACCCTGCACGTCCGCCTGAGCGCCGCCGCGCCTCTGGGAGCGCGCAGGACCCGTCCCTACAGCAGCGCATCCATCCTGCCGTGGAGCCGGGAGCGTGGAGCCGCGAGGAGCGCACACAGAGAGCCACAGAAGATGGACGGAGTGGGATCGTTCGGAGCGGGCCGGACCGGGTCCACTATCGACCCGATTAGCTTCGTCAAGCAGCCGCAGACCATCCTGAGAGCGCTGTCCTTGGTGAGAGCGGGCTTTTACTGTCTGTGTGTGGATGTGGAGGTGGAGGTGGTGGTGGTGGGGGTCCTCTCTGTTGTCGCTGCTGCGCGGAACCCGTGACGTGTTCTCACTACAAATATAGACTCCAGAAATCCGCCGAAAGCTGATAAGCAGGTTGTGTGAATGGAAACCTCCGAATTAGCGCGTATTTGTGGGGGTGATGTGACAGAAATGTAGCGCTCAGGGTGTAACCAAGGCCTGGTGGTTATCTGACACCATGACCATGTAGCTTCATCTCACTCCAGATGTTTTTGTGGAGCAGAAATCATCTCCCCTCAGCGCGTTTATTTCCCGGCAGTGCTTTAATAAACACAGCATATGAGGTGCAGCAGAGGGATTGGGCTGAAAATGACAAAAAGGGACTGATCCATACTCATTCTTCAGGCTTCCTGTGTTCCTGCCACCTAATGATGTTTTTCTACCCATTACATAACCGCACTATTCCACAGGACATTCCTCGTCCTTTTTTTTTTTTTTTTTGCCAATCATTTTTTCTGCTCGTGATTTTTTTTTGCTGATTTACCCTAAACGGTCGTCGTCGTTCGTCATCCCACCTGTGATTGGTCCGCGCTCCTCATTACGCACGCAGGGCCACGGAGACGCGTTGTGTCCTGACGTTTGATGTAACGCATCACCTTTGGGTGACACGGAGAAGGTCTTCTTCAGCAGTGCAGGGGATCTTCTGAAACAAAAACCAACCGAGAGTGTGCAGTTCGTTTCGTCAGTACATTTAAAATAATCTCTGATTTAAATGTGTCATTGTGCTGTTTGTGGTTGTTGATGAAAATATAGATGCAAACTGATCCTGCTCAAGTGTTATCAGAAAAATATGCTTAAAGATCAAAAATATCTGCCACTTTCACTTCTGTAGCCAAGAGAAAGCCTTTAAAAATCTACTCTATGCACATAAAGTTAGTGTAGTCCAGTGGAAAATGGGAACAATAGAAATACCAAAGTGGCACATAAGGGCCTCAAAATTGTACCTAACTTGAGTTCTTGACTAAATGTGTTTAGGTACGTGCTAGAAAATGTGCTAGAAATCAAGAAGCAACTTTATCCGCTGTGGGAATCCTCAATAAACCAGAATGCATTGCAGCAACAGAGCATTCTGCTATTTTAGCGACTCAGAAACTTCTTTCCCTGTAGTGCTAAAGCTTTCTTCAGCTTTACACAAACCCTCTGCCTTGTAAGAAAGATCACTAATTAAGCAATCAGGTAGAGAGGAGCTTAAAAAAAATGTCAAAATTGTGCAAAAAATATCAGGGAAAATGTCATTTAGAGACGCAGCACTCTGATAAATAAGCAGCTTTATCACGTCGATGCACTAAAAGCACTTGAGTGTGTATCTGCTCAAATTCTATCCGTACATGTGATTAGTTTGAAACACGATGCCTCCACCATCATATGACCCAGACCCCCCAGTACTAGCTCAGTTCTGTGTGTGTGCGTGTCACATGACCCTATTCTGCCACGGAGTGTTAGTCAGCTGATCGGTGTCCAGAGCAGAGGGAAGAAGAATTAACTGGAGAGATCAGCCTGTTGGAAACAAATAGGAGAGGAACTGAGAGTAAAAAAGTTATAGCTGCAGTTTGCGATGTGATGGCTATCTCCTTTTGGTTTCTATGCAAACACACACACACACACAGATTGCCTCAGGTCTGGTGATTCTTGAGGGGAAGTGAAGCATCCACCTCTTTAGTCAGTCAGAAAGAAAGGGAGGAAATTAGGTTAATGCCTTCGGTCTGAGCACGCTCAAAGAGATGCTTTTGAGTAGTGCTGCCACAATCCCTGCAACACTGTTAACGACAGAAAGAAAAAAGAAAGATGATTGTTTCCACTTTGTGTTTTTTTCTCACCGAACCTCCTCTCCTCTTTCGTCCACAGATATTCTCCCTGGTGGTCTTTGCCTCCATCGTGAACGAGGGTTACGTCAACTTGGGCAGCGAGCGCCTCCACTGCGTCTTCAACAAGAATGCAGATGCGTGTAACTACGGCGTGTTCGTGGGCCTGGTGGGCCTGCTGGCGTGCGCCTTCTTCTTCCTGCTCGACTACAAATTCTCCTCCATCAGCTCTGTTAAAGACAGGAAGAAGGCCGTGATGCTCGAGATCGGGTTCTCAGGTGAGGAGGCAGACGTGTGAGCAGATGTGGGTTTTCTGTCAGACAATCCTAGAAATGTTCTTGGTGTGTGAGTTTGCTCACTTTTTAATGAAATGCTGAGGTGCTGCAAACAATAAAACATACGTATTTTGTTACATATCAGTGTATGATGGCATATTACTGTTATGCGTAATGCAGGGGTGTCGAACTCCGGTCCTCGAGGGCCGCAATCCTGCATGTTTTAGATGTTTCCCCTCTTCCAACACACCTGATTCAAATGATCAGCTCATCATCAAGCTCTGCAGAAACCTGATAACGATCCTGATCATTTGAATCAGGTGTGTTGGAAGAGGGAAACATCTAAAACATGCAGGATTGCGGCCCTCGAGGACCGGATGTCGACACCCCTGGCATAATGGAAAATTTGATTTCAAGGTAAAAAGAATGCAGAAAAAGGAGTCAAACTATCCTGTTATAAGATGCTTAGGATGCTAAATTTTTCAGATCTAAAGTATGCACCAAAGAGACATAAAATAACAAATATTAAAGAATGATGACAAAACGTTGAACCTCCTGCTCAAAACTGCACTTTCACATTTGTGAAAATGGCTAGTAAAGGTATGAATCTTTTTTTAACCCTCTTAACCCCAAAACCTTCCACTAGGTTTGAAAATTGTGTTATTTTTGAGAAGAATCTGCAAAATTACACTGAAACTGCAAAAACAAAATGAATCATCAGATTTTCCAACTTTCCCCTGGTCCATGAACTCCTCATCTGTGATGTACACTTCTGCCTGGAAAAAATCTAAGCTTAATGTTGTGATGTTTCACAAAGATCTATTTATTATGTTTCATTATTCTACATGTCTCATATAAAACATTGCAAAAAAATAAACTGATCCAACCAGATTCTGTAAAAAGTAAAATAATCTTCAATCCTCGGTGCAACCGTGAGGCCATGAGTGACTCAGCTGCAATACTGCAAACAGTCACATGACAAAAACTCTGACATTTTGGAGACTATAATGCAGTAAGTGTAGTAAAATATCTGTAGTATTAGACCAACATCAGTACTGGAAACACATGTGGTCACTTTATATTGTAGTGATAAATGAGGCCACAGAGAGTAAAAATGTGACAGGAGCAAAAACACAACAACAAAAACACCCAGAAAGTGCTTTGGGTTGACGGGGTTAAAACAAAGGTGTGTTTTGTTTGTAAATGTGAACCAAACACAGGATTCAAAAGGCTGGGATTCCCCAAAATACCACAAATGTAGGCCGCCGAGGCTCGCTTCTTTGTTTCAGGTGTCTGCTTTCCTGCACCGCAAGACATCAAGAGAAATGAAACCTGTGAAGTGACTTCAAGTGTTGGAGAAATGAGAGTATATTTAAACTCTAAAAGGAACAAAGAAGTGCTTCAGGTGGTTTGATTTGAGAAATCTCAGGTTATTATATGTTTTTTTATTTGTCTCATCTGTGTGAAAAAGGGGCTGCGGTGGGCAGTGGTTAGCACCATTGCCTTGCAGCTAGAAGGTCGCTGGTTCGCGTCCTGGTGAGGACACTGGGATCTTTCTGTGTGGAGTTTGCATGTTCGCCCCGTGCAGCGTGGGTTCTCTCTGGGTTCCTCCCACACAGTCCAAAAACATGTTGAGGTTAATTGGTGATTCTAAATTGTCCGTAGGTGTGAATGTGAGTGTGCTTGGTTGTCTGTCTCTAAGTGTAGCCCTGTGATAGACTGGTGACCTGTCCAGGGTGTCTCCTGCCTTCGCCCTGAGTCAGCTGTGCTAGGCTCCAGCCCCCCATGACCCTCGTGAGGATTAAGCGGTGTATAGATAATGGATGGATGGATGTGTGAAAAAGTTAACTTGAAAATAACCACTCATTGTTCCACTGGTTTCTTGCAGGTTTCTGGGCTTTTCTCTACTTTGTCAGTTTCTGCTTCCTGGCCAATCAGTGGTCCCGGACCAAGGACGCTGATGTGCCTCTCAACCAGGGAGCGGATGCAGCTCGAGCAGCAATTGCCTTCTCTTTCTTCTCCATAATCACCTGGGTAAGAGCATGAAGTCACACACAGCAACACGTAATGACATGCTCGATCACACGAACACATACAGGTGGAAAAAATGCAAAGGATAAATGTTTGACACAAAATGGTAACACGTGTGTTTGCAGATCGAATTGATAAGAAAAAAAAACTAAAAACAAAGCCGTAGTCATTTGATTAAATGTAGAATATTAATATCAAATCTCCCAGAAGTTTTTGCCTGCCTTTTCCTCCACGCATTTCACTGCGTGTTATACCATGTGTGTGTTTGTGACCAAAAAAAAGTCACATTTTTACTCACTGTGGGCTCATTTTTCACTCCAATATAAAGTCTAGTGGCACAAACAACATAAAAGAGACACAAAACAGCCTCTAAACGGCACATACAGCCGGAAAGGACACCAAACAGCCTCAAAAGATCACACACAGCCCAAAAGAAACACAAAAAGCCTCAACGAGACACAAAATAGTCTAACATCAACACAAAACAGCCTCAGAAGATCACACACAGCCCAAAAGAGATGCAAGATGACACAAAACAGCCTCAAAGAGACACAAAACAGCCTCTAAAGGGCACCAACAGCCTAAAAAGGACTCAAAACCATCCAAAAGAGACAAAAAATCTCAATTACTAATGGCTAGAAGTCTCGAGAACTCAAACACGTCTTTTTGCAGTATGACAAACTTATAATGCCATAAATTGAAGTTGCATTTCTTTGATTATTTATTTTACAAAAATTTCAAAAACCTGTTATCAACATCTACAACATTTTTCCCACAGTTGTGACCAATACTGGAGGAAAATGGTGACTACAAATACGATAGATATTTTGCAGCTTACATTTTTATGATGTTTCTATCCTTGTCTGCTCCACAGCCTGCAGTTCAACTGAAAAATTACTGAATTTTAGTCACCAAACTGTTGGTTGCAGTTGAGTCGCTTGTGGCTTATTAGTTGTGCAGAGAAGCGCAGAATTTTTACTAAATCTGGTTTCAGCAAACGGTTTGTTTTTGGGGAGTTTTTGAACAGAAACATGTGGAATATAGTGATTTTGGATTAAACGTGACGATTTTAAGCTTAGATTTGGTTAAGTTTCCGTCACAGATGAGTAGTTCAGGAGCAGTGAAGATTGAAAGTTAAAAACCCAGTGATTCTTGTAGTTTTTACAGTTTCTGTCACTAAGAAATGGTGTAATGCTAGTGCCTTTCATACCCTCTGGTGTGCTACAGGTTTACACGGTTAAATGACATCGAATTATGAAACAGGGAACAGATTCATGAAAGGCCCCCCCTCCCACCTAACAACAAAAGCTCCAAGAGTTACTGTCTGACAACCTTCTTACTGCTCTTCTCTACAGATTTTATAAATATGATGAGACACTATACAGGAAATGACTGCTGCATTTTCATAAAGCGCTGTTCTGATGCGCAATGTATTTAAATTGCGTCCCAGCAGGATGTTAGGCTCAGCATGTCGACAGCCTTTGGAACTCTTTCTGCATCTCCTTGAATCAGTTTGACAGGTCTATAAAAGGAGCAGGGAGTCTGGAGGTTTTCAAATAGAAATTTAAGTGAAAAACTAGATTTTCAAATCAATATATCTATATGTAAAAACGCAGTATCATCCAGAGGAGCTTTTATAACTAATATAATAAATGTCTCATAAACAAGGAGCCAAACTAAGTCAGGCGCCAACAATAAGAAATATGGATTTTGACAGTAGTTCTAGCAAATTTGTATACATATATGTGTGACAGCTTTATAATTATGAGCCTGGTGGGTGTCTGGGAGGGAAACAGACAAGGATTAGGGGAAAATAACAGATGACATTTGATTACAAAAGCTAATGTTGTGCTCACATCCCTATGCTGTACATTTTAATATCACATATAAGGATATAACAGAACTAATCCTGGCTGTTTAACTCGGAGCACTGATACCAACTGTAACAGAAACCAATGATCAGCTGCTATCAAGTAGCTCAAGTCAAACCGACTAATTTAGAAGTTTTCAAACATCCATTTCCATTATCTATACACCGCTTAATCCTCACTAGGGTCATGGGGGGCTGGAGCCTATCCCAGCCGACTTAGGGCGAAGGCAGGGGACACCCTGGACAGGTCACCAGTCTATCACAGGGCTACACTTAAGAGACAGACAACCAAGCACACTCACATTCACACCTACGGACAATTCAGAATCACCAATTAACCTCAACGTGTTTTTGAATGCACATGAATCCGGAGAACCCGGAGAGAACCCACGCTGCACAGGGAGAACATGCAGAAAGATTCCGGTGCCCCCACCGGGACGCGAACCGGCAACCTTCTTGCTGCGAGGCAACAGTGCTGAACAACAGCGCCACCCTGCAGCCCGTTTTCAAACATAATAAATGATAATAAAAAAAAAAAGACTTGAAGTGCACAGTTTGCATTTTTTCCCCTAGCACAATTAATACCAGAGCCTGCTTCTTGTTGTGAAACCGAAGTGAATCAACCGCTCTTGGCTCTGACATCCCACCCTGAATGCCACCGTAGCCCCAGGATCGTAACACTAACGTCACAAGGTTTTTGTTACAGAGGCAGCAGCAAAGTCTCTTCACCTGCAAAATCCCCCATATCCAGGCATGAAAACTGGCTCCCTTGTTAGGAACAGAGAAACACAATAATTCACCATGTAGGAATTGTAAAATGCAAGGTGATTAATAAAAAAAGCAACTCCGAGTGGCTACCACTTACTCTGTGTGCCGAAACAGAGACGACTCCCTTTTGAAACCTAATATGACGTCTTATGATAATAAAATGTTTTTAAGAGTTTGAAGTATTTCTGCCTTCATGTCTCATAAAACATTCAAAAGAATCACTTCTCAAATGATCATTTCTAAGACACATTAAGTACCAATTTAATGAACCTGGTTTGAACCGTCTTAATGTTCTGTTGTGTGTCCTTGATGAATGTAGCCACAAACTGCTCTTACACTGAGTGGATTATTCTGCTGAAACACACTAAAGTACTCAAATCAGGTGTACGATCGGGACTTTTAACTTTGACTTTCTAAAGAGAAAAGTTAATAAGAGTAACTTCAAACAGAGGCTCAGGATTAAGGGACCCCCCGGCTGCTTGTCGCACATTTGCACAGTGGGCTCTTTTGATAATCCATCCATGACCTGAGCTACAAACACTAATCCATTTCTGATTACATTTAAGGCAGGAAACGGTCGGAGCGTCTGCTTCTTTTTTAATTACTTTAATTATCAACAAAGTTTAGATGCATCATCATCCTCATTTAAATGATCCAGTGATTTGATTGGGCTCATTAAGATTTTGCCATGTTTGTTTTTAAGAAATATTTTGGGTGGTGATACCACGGTCGTGGCCCTCTGTGGTGGAAATGACGGGTTGGTTTGTTCAACTCAGCACAAAGACTGGAAACAGGAGAAGGAAACCACTTCTTTGGCTCAAACAAAATCTGCTTACTAGCACTTCCAAAGCTCTCTGATTTGTTTGTTATACCTTTTATTAATAATTTATGGGCGTTGTCTGCTGGACTTTTTCTTGGCCAGGAACAGTAACTTTCTGAAGTTTCCTCTGGCTGCCAGAGTGATGGATTTAGTGACTTCCAGACTGAGCCAAGCTACTTATTTCCATCTTCCAGACTTTGTGCTAAGCTAAGCTAACCAGCTGTGGGCTGCAGTTGTTGCATTTAGTGTGGAGTTACAGAAAAATCTTTCGTTTAAGACCGCCGCCAAAAAGCAAATTAGCGTATTTCCACAAAATGGGATAATTGAGAGATTATTATTTCTATTACATC